GCGCCTACTGCCGGGGGCCTGCGGAGTGGGCAGAAAGCGCGACTGAAAGTTCCAAGTCCACCAAAGTCCCGCGCGCGGCCCACCGTGTTCTCGAGATTTCTGGGGTGACGTGGGGGGGGGCTAGGTGAGGGGGTCGCGCACGTCTGGGGCATCTGGCACAACGCGCTCCCGGTTCCCACCCCCGCCCGTGGTCACAGGAACGCGCCCTCGCACCCGCGCTTTCTCACCGGCAGCCGAGCACGCGCGCAGGACCGCGCGTGTCCTTCGTCCCCGAGCGGCCGCCAGGATGTGCCCCAGGCCTCGGCCCCGCCGCGCTTGTACCAGTGTCCCTCGCCTAGTATGTCTTTTTCAATTTACTGAATTTCTTATTTTTGTCCTTGCAAGCGGTCCTGTGTTATACGAAGCTTCGGCACAGATGGCCTTCCAGCGCTTCCCCCAGTGTCGTTTGTGGCTGGGGTGGGGAGCAGGCGGTGACTAGCCAGTCCGGACGCCTGGCTCCCGGCTGGGCTCCTGTGGGCGTGCTCCTGTCTGGTGGAATCCCCTGCCCGGGCGCCGTACGTCCCGCTCTCCGCCCGCTGCTTTTCGGTTCTAGACTGCGATTCCCAGCCCGCGTTTTCCCGCCCGCCTCTAGTAGTGTAAGTTCCCGAAGCCACAGCTTCGGGCTCTGGGAAAAGCGCATAGAGTCATGCAGAAGAAGAAAGCTTACAGGTTGGAGTCGTCTCCAAACAGCCCCAAGAGCCACTTACGAAAAAAAAAAATTCTTAAGGTTGGTTTTGTTTTGCCTTTTAGTGGAGAGCGTATTCACGTAGGTGATTTTTTTTTCCAAAAGAAAGGCTATTAAATAAAAGATGTTTGAAATCTAGATTTTCCTTTTAAACATACATCGGTTGCGCTTTTATAGTTAAGCTCTGAGGCGAAATGTCTTTGTACATCAGTCGCGCAGTGAAGTTTTGCGAAGGCTGCAAGTATCTGGGGGTTGCTCTTGCGTGTGGCGCAGAGGCGCTCTCGGTGGTGAAAAGTTTGCAGCTCGGGTATTTGGGGCGAGCGAGGGCAGGAATTCTTCCTGGGAAAAGAGGGCAGAGAAAGTTTCAGGAGTGGGAAGATAAAAATGAAAGTGTGTTTTGTGTGTGTGTGTGTGTGTGTGTGTGTGTGTGTGATGTGGGGGGTAGAGTGGGGAATTTTTCAGATGTACAGGATCGGCAGGAGTTTGGGAAGTCGCAGCGCCTCGGCAGGAAGGCAGACATTGCCATTTCTTTCTAGAAGAGAAATCAAAGAACCTTCATGAGTTGCTACCACCTCTTGCAAAAGGTGCGCTGTCTTCTATGACCTGATGAATCCCCTCTCTTTTCACTTTCTCTTGTAATCGACACACTTGGGAAGAAGAAGCAAATGCAGGTTCCCACCGCGTCTGAATACTTTCAGGGAAGATCTGATCCCGCTCCCTCCACAGCTTCCTGGCCCTTGGCACCGGCTCCTCATTGGGTCACATCACCTGTCCCTCTCCACCATTTTGTGGTTGAGGTCCTCTCATACTCCCACCTCCATTCATCAGTCTCTCCAAAACAACGATGGGAATGATTTTCCCACGTCTTTCTGGTGCTTCCAAAATGCAGCTGTCTAATTTCATGGACTTTGCATTTTCTATGAGGTATGGTCACCGGCCATCTTTTAAGTACCTCCAGGGAAGGCGAATCTGAGCCCAGTTCTTCAGGTGTTAGGAAGCAAGCCTTCAGATTTCAGAGGTACTCAGCGAGTCCTAAGTGGAAAGGTAAAGCAGGCGGGGCTCGGGCTTGAGTGGTCATTGTGGAAAAGAGCTGGTTTCAGGGCAGGGTGTGGAGTTCTCACTTTGGACCAGCCTGGGGTGGGCTGCTGTCCCAGGGTCAGGGCAGCATAGGGCCCGCCCGCAGCCTGGATGAAGGTAGGCTCCACATCTCACTCTGCACAGGCTGCCCTGGAATTTCGTTGAGAAGATGGAGCAGAGACTTGGAAGAAAGGGCCAGAAAGCTGTGTGCAAGGGTAACCCGCACAAATCCCCTCTAAATACCGCACTAGCCCAAGTACTGCGCTGGAGTGGACCAAAGGGACACCCTTCTGATGATGGTCGAGGATAGAAAGCCGAAAAGGCACACAACTTCCTGACTTACCTGTTCCTTTCTGTTTCTCGCCTCCCCACACTCAGATCAGAAACCTTTATTCAGTTCTCATTCAGTGTGGCAAGTTTTAATGAAAGCATTTGTATTTTAAGCCTTAGTGGCAATAATATATTTATTGCAAAGTGTCAATGAGGTATTTTCACAGATTAGAGGCAGCATGCTTGCTCTGGTTGTGTACAGATTGATATACAGAAATGTAGAGCAGAGGTGCAGACACTGACTCAGTTAGCACCAGGCACATGCATGCTTATCATCACATGACCACTGTCTATTAAAATATTGCAATACCTAAACACTATTGCAAAAACAAAAGTTGCTTTTCTTTCCTATAATTAAATCTAATTTGTTAATTGTCTTGTTCCTCTTGCCATGTTGTTTTCATCTTAAGAGGTGACATGTTATTATTTTGTCTGCTTAATAATATTATTTACAAATTAATACTGTATATTTTACATTAGTGAAACATATAATTAGGTGTTTGATTTAATTTGTATCATTTATTCAGATAAAACAGAAAGCCTATCTAAGGTTGATTTGACAAGGGGAGGTTGAATAGTCCTAATTTAACGTTACAGTCACAGTTCATGGAAGCTACCTGGCCCCAAATGCACAAAAGACAGGTTTTCATGAGGTGCATTTGACATTTTGTTTAATATGTTTATTTCCCCAAACTTAATACAAACTGGGCATTCACATGTTAGGGGTTTCATTTTAGGGGGTGGGGGTCGCTTTGTATTCTCTTTTCCTTCCAAAGTTCCTTTTTTTCTACTCACTGGGCATCTCCTTCGCTTCAGTTCCTTCCCCACCCCCAACTTTTGTTCTAGGTCCTTAGGGTTAAATTCAGCATGATTTTGTGTCTTTAATGCTGTGACAAGTGACCGCTAATTGGTTCTCACTTGAGCAAAGATATTACCATACTAATATTATTATTGGTAAGAAGAGGTAATTGATAACACCACCTGCCACTCTGGGGCAATCACGATGATAAATGTTTCCATCAACAGGAAATCTGTGCTTGGTGTACCACAGCCCAACGCAAACAGCATGTCAAATGCCAATTATAAAGATGTTGCTTTTCCATTACATGGGGGGGGGGCGCTAGAAAATGTAGCAAAAAAATAGATTTGTGTTTTTTTGAAAATGTTTTATACAAGCTTCTGTTCACCAAGTTGAAGTTAACTTTCCCCAGAAAAATAAAAGGATCTAACTAAATAATCCGGTACAAGATAACTGCCCTGCTCACACTGCTAGGAAGACCCTGCCTTCTCTGTGTGCAAATCCATTGAGATAAATGTGTCCACGTGTCTTTAATAGGTGGGAGCTGTGTGCAGAGCATATAAATCCACCTTGGTCCGAGTGCTCTGAAGCTTCCTGTGTGTTCTTCACAGGACACTGGGCCAGTTCACTGGAGGCACGGGCAGGCAAGCATCCCACAGCTTTTTATGGCATACACGGGAAACCACACATGGCTATCCTCTTCACACCGAGGGGTGCAAACGTTGTTGAAGTACTTCTCGCCTAATGATTGGACTTTTTATCGCAGCTGCATGTGGCCAGGGAGGGGCGCTTCAGCAAGTATAATCATATAAAATAATGCTGGGGAGTTACAACTTTGACTCCCTTG